CAGGAAATGACATTTTCACAAAGTTGGTGCAATAGGCCTTCTTTTGGCATAGGCTTTTTAAAAGGATAAAAAATGTTAACATCCAACGATTGGTTGGTGTAAATGATGGTTTAACATGAAATCAAATTAAGTAAATCATGTCTCAACATTTACAAAAAGAAGGACAAAATTGTTTACCATAACCATCGAGAAATGTGAAATGTGCAATTTCTTAAAATAAAAATACCGAATGTCAGAATATTTCAAATTAAAATATTAAAATCTTGCTGCATGTTTAATTTAGGATGAAGAGATCTTTATAATTGTACTATGCAAATTAACTGCAAAATCTTCACAAGCTCTAATTCTTTCTAATCCCTATATCTTTGCAACCTGATGGTGACTATGGAAGAACTCATTTCTTGAATATTAATTGTCTAACAGGATCAGGTTTTATTTAAAAAATAACCAGAGTTAGAAATGTTTAGCCAATAAACAAAAATTGGAATAATCTTGTTCCAAACACTAAAAAGAAACAAAGTAATTGATTCTTTGCCACAAACTCAATTTTCTAACCCTTACATCTTTGCAACCTAATGGTTTCGACCTTTGATATTTCAAACTTGAACTATTTATCTAACAGAACTTACAGTTTGAAACATCATAAGGTCTCCGACTTTAAGTTGCAAAGATTATTATAAAGTTTGAATTTGAAACAAAAACTCAATTTGTTTATAACAAAACTGAACTAAAGTATAAACACGGAATAACGCTATGAAAAGTTAAACCTGATCTGAGTCTTCAATGCGATTTTTTCTTTTCTCACTTTTTACATCAAAAGTAATTACTTTAATTTCAAAATTATTTGCATTAAAAAATATTTACTAAATCTTCAATTTGGTTTCGCATAAATTTAACATGCAATTGTTTTTTTTTTTAAATTTAATTAATTGTAAATATTTAAACAATGTCTGAAAACGATCATTTATTCAGAAAAGTCAACTTTTTCTGATGCAAAATCACGACTAGTTTTTAATTGATTTATTTTTAATGTGAAAGTCTTTGCTCAAATTTTCTTACCGCTACATCTTTGCAACCTGATATTGTAAACCCTTGATATTTCAAATTTAGATCTGACAGAACTAATACTTTGAAATATCTATTTTCTACGACATAGGGGTGTAAAGATATAGGAACGAAGAGTTTGTGGTAAGAACTCAATTATTTTTTTTTCAAATGTGTATACCATTATACTCAGGATTAGGATAAACCTGATATCTCTAAGTATCCGGGTATACCATTATACTCAGGATTAGGATAAGACTAATAAGCATAAGTATCCAAGTATACCAATATAACAATGGTTAGGATAAGACTGATATCCCAAAGTATCCTAGTACCAATTTAACCAACCAGGGAGGTTTAGCGGAAGGGTAGCGGCGATGTATTCTGATAAGTCTCGGGTTTTCTTCTCTTAACTAAACAGGAGGCTGATGGCCAAACCTCGGGTTGAGGTTCAAATCAGAGCTCGAGGTTGTTGTCATGAGAATTCCCCTGGGAGGATAAAATAATCTCCGTGGCCGGCCTCTAGAGGGCCAAATAAACAGCGAGAGAATAAAAGTTTACAACAAGGGTTTCCATTTAATATTTAAACAAACCGAAATCCACTTTAGTTCCTTTAAATCTTTTCAGGGATATAGTTTTAACTCCCCCCCCCCCCTTTTATGTATGTATATTTTCTAGTTTTTTCCTGGTTTTCCAATAAATGTTGCAAAACGGCTGAAGCGAGTGGCCCAAAAATCAACGAAATTATTATTAGTTCTACGATTTATAAAAAAAAAACTTGTTAAATGCTAGAAAAAATGCGTGAGAGCTTAGTAACTTTAACAAAAAATTGTTTTTATCTTATTACTCAAGGGCCCATTTCTTCAAACAAGATTGTTAAAAACATTTGAGTAAGTTTTACAACAAATTTTCTGGATTCAAAATATTTTTGCCTCAAATTTTAATTGGGAAACTCGGGAGAACTTTGCGAATGTGTTTAGCTTGGTTTTCAGATTGTATCGACTTCAGGCCCGTAACTGGGTGCTTTTGTAAGGGGTGGGGTGGGCTCACCGAGTGATAGGAAGTTAATGAGGCGGGGGTTCAGGAGAGCCCCCCTGCTTAGAAAATTTTTTGATTTTTCTGTCTGAAAAGCTAACTTTTTTACTTTAAATTTGTGAAGTGTTACAATCTTTTTCATTGCTTAGTTAAAATCTTTTTCATTGCTTAATTTCATATCATTGAAATGTCATAACACAGTTTTTTAAATGAACAATAATATCTGGAAACAAATTATTTTTTATTTACATAATATAAAACATAAAACTAAAAAAAAAACTTGTTCAAGATTTCCAAAATGAAACAGGGCAGATATTGTTAAATAATTGAATGAATGAAATACAGTGATAACCAGAAAACTCTGGAATAGGAAGTTGACTTTTAGACTCAAGTTAATAGCTTACACTGCTGAAAATGGACCATCAGGTTTCAAGTCAAAATAGTTAAAAATACAATGCCAGTTGACTTTTCATGAAAAGTTACAAAATTTGGGACCTGAAATTAACATTTAAAAAATATTGTAAGAAAACTCCAAAAGAAGCATTTTAAAGTCTTTAAACGAAATTTACGTTAATTTTAGACCTGTAAATGCACTTGATTTCTGAGATATCTTTAACCCTATTCCCGCTGGGGGGGGGGGTAAATTTGACCCCCCCCTAAATTGACCCCCCCCCCAGCGTATCCTGGGTTTCAAGTACCCCAGCAGGGATAGGGTTAAAATGGATTTGCTGAAAATTCTCTAGGTATCATTTTTCGAAAATTGAGATTATAACTCAGTAATAGACTGGATATTAACATCTTCTGAAGAAAAAGATTAGGTGTTTTGACTTAAAACCTTATGGTCCATTAACAGCAGTGTGAGTTGTAATAGTTTTCGATTTCCTACAGGGGGGGGGCGCCCTTCCTACAGGGGGGCGCGCCCCCCCTGTAGGAACATAGGAGGGGCGTGCGCCTTTTCGCCCCCCTCAGTTACTTATCAACTTTAATAGAAAAATGAGCGGTAAAAACTGCGGGAGTAACTATGAATAACCAGGGCAAAGCTGGGTTCCCAATCTAGTGCATTATGATTATATTTGTACAATGTAAATTGAGTTCAGTCCATCTAGTATCATATAGCATGTAATTTATTAACTTTCATTTGGAGGATTTTAAACAGAAGACGACTTTTCCTGTAGAGTATAATTTCAGGTAAAAACTATACTTTCCAATTCAATTAAGTCATTATCAGAATATTTATGGTTTCCAGCTACAATTACTACACCTGATCTTTCCATTATTACGGCTAAGTCCAAAGTCAACAATTAGAAAGTTTTGAGTCGTCTTAAAAGTCTCATCTCTGTATTTTGTTTTAATAAGAGAGATAATATTCAAAATATATTTACATAAGATATTAAATGTTCAAATAAGACATAATAATATCTTGTAGAAGACGACATTCACAATGTTTTTCAAAAGATGTTAAATACAAATTATTGTTAGAATAAAAGAAATTGTAGATAAATAATTCTAATATAAATTGTTTCGTGAATAGAATTAGAAATTCAATTTGATATTTCTTTTTGATAATTTTCGTATATTTTAAAATTAAATTTCTAGTCGTCTTTTCCCGAGCTAGCTTTAGGGGCCGGGGGGATGATGGATGTTGGGTTAGGAAGTAGGAGGAGTTAGGAAGTAGGATGGGTTGGGAAGAAATATAGGTTGGGAAGAAGGATAGCTTGGGAAGAAGGCTGGCTTGGGAGAAAGGATAGGTTGGGAAGAAGGATGGCTTGGGAGAAAGGATAGGTTGGGAAAAAGGATGGCTTGGGAAGAAGGATAGGTTGGGAAGAAGGAAGGGTTGGGAAGAAGTATAGGTTGGGAAGAAGGATGGCTTGGGAGAAAGGATAGGTTGGGAAGAAGGATGGCTTGGGAAGAAGGATAGGTTGGGAAGAAGGATGGGTTGGGAAAAAGGATGAGTTGTGAAGTAGAAGGCGTTGGCAAGAAGGATTGGTTGGGAAGAAGGATGGGTTGGGAAGTAGGATTGGGTGGGAAGAAGGATGGGTTGGAAGAAGGATAGTTTGGGAGGATGGATGGGTTGGGAAATAGGAGGGGTAGGAAAGTAGGAAGGGATGTGAAGAAAAATAGGTTGGGAAGAAGGATAGGTTGGGTAGAAGGATGGTTTGGGAAGAAAGTTTCTGTTGGGAAGTCTTTAGGAGACTACTCAGGACTTCAGAGAGTAATACAGAACTATATATAGAGGGATACATTAAAATATATAGTCCTTGAATCTGCACATACAAGGGGAGTAGTCTCAGGAGATTACTCAGGACTTCAAAGAGTAATACAGAACTGTACAGAGTAATACATTTTAATATATTATAGTCCTTGAGTTGGGACTACGTAGAGGACATGTAATAGACTTAATATAGAATAACAGCATTTTTAAGGCCAGGGGGGGGGGCAAAACAACTTCCCCCTGGCTAAAATCCTTAGTACGCGCTTGATAGGTTGGGAAGAAGGATTGGTTGGAAAGTAGGAAGGGTTGGGGAAAAGGATAGGTGTGGAAGAAGGATAGGTTGGGAAGAAGGAGGGGTTTGCAAAAAGGAGAAATTTTTACCACATTATTTTTCTAACCGGGTTGAAATAATTAAGTAATTATATGAAAGTTCTTAAAGCCCCTTTCAGTTTGTTTCATTAAATATAATGTATGCTGCAATGCATATTGAAAAGATACAATATATAAAAATATATCTATAATCTACAGATATTTAAGTAATTTATTTTCCCTTCGTCAATAATTATCATTCTCCATGCTTAGCCACAAAATTCAATTACATAGATAGATAGATAGTCAGGCAGTGACGGGCGTATATCTAGGCATACACCAGGCAGCCCCAGGTCCGACCTTGATGGCTCGGACCGGCCTCTCTCAACTCAGTTCTACAGCTCGCACTTAGCTCACGCATCAAGAGTTTTATTTTCAGATGAACTGACTCCGAGTACAGTTCTCCTAGACCCTAGTGTATACTTTCCCTGATATAAACCCATGTTGGAGAACTGCCAACCCGTCCCGGAGATTTTACAGAGATAAATTTACAATGTAAAAGCTGCATTGGTGCAGTCTTAGAAGTGATTGTTATATAGTGAGCTTGTGCATATTAATATTAAATTCATCAAGACAGGAGGCAAAGATACAGAGAGAGAATCAGGGTTTCGGGATGAAATTTGAACCCGGACTTTTTCTTGACGTGATTATATTCCTGTTTCTAGGATAACAAAATTTGGTTTAGCGTGTGGGGGTGGGAGGAGATAGAATGACTGTGTGAGAGATTAATATATTGCCATATGTTTGGGCAAATATGACGTAATCTTGAGCATCTCATTAAACCAAGCCGGGTTCAGGTTAGAACAGGTGTCAGGGGTGCACCCAGAGATATGGAGAGAGGAGGGAGGAAACCTAACGGAACCAACGGGTCCCGGGATATCTACACACAGTTAATAAACAACGACATGGTGAAGGAGCTGGACGATATTGAAGCTATATCTCAGCAGATCTCCCAGCATGCCGAGGTTCTCTATAATTCATGGAAAAACAACGGAGTGAGTCAGAATCCTGTTCAGTATAAACTCTCTTCAGCCCAGTCCGTCTCACCCTCTCTAGACGAAACTAGTAATCCTCTCTCCAGGGATCTAAGAGAACGGGGAGGAACTAGTTCTCCAAGATTAGAGAACGGAGGAGTTCCCAACAGGAACCAGGCCCCCTTCAACTCTATTCCCGCCGGATACAGGAACGGTGGGGATACAGGAGTGAGTAATAAATTCCCCAGTGAATCCTACGGCAGTTTGGATCGACAATATAGTTCGGTTCGGCCGCAACCAAGCTTCTCCACCAATAGTTTAGATAGACACGGCTCATACCCGGAGAGAAATCCGCCCTTTAATAGGAATTCGAACTCCTCCTCGCCCCGGAACTCCACATTATCCTCTCCAACCTCCTCAACACGTGAGTCTCCCTCGAAAGGATCCTCTATAACGCATATATCTCCGTCCTCCAACACTGATGTTGGTCCTCTAGAACTCCTAGCCTCGCCTAATCTAACCGGAAACCTAGAAGAATTAGTCACTAGTTTTGTGAGTACTGATAGAGCTAAACAAGCAGCTAGAAATACAATATCTTCAACTATTATGCGCAGGTTGGGTTCTCCGAACGGATCTGCATCTCCTGTCCGGAGTCCTTCTCCCACCCCAACCCTAACCTATAGAGGAGCTTCACCACTACGGAGCCCAATGTTGACTAATTCTATCCGGTCTGTAGGTTCTCCGGATCCTTTGTCTCCTAAACCTTCCTCTTCAAGCATGTTTCCTAGTGATATATTGAACCCAATGAGTGTGACGGGTTCAAACATAAATGATTTTATCCATGCCCCCATGCAATCCATATTTTCTAAAGACAATGGACGAATGTCTCCGTCAATTCAATCTCCCATGACACAATCTCCATCACATAAAAGTCCCATGATCCAATCTCCAGGAATAAGATCTCCCGGAGTTCAGTCTCCGGGTTTTAAATCTCCTCTAAGTCCATTACAAGCTCAGAAAAGTTCTCATGTCCAATCTCCGAACTTGAAACCTTCTCTAGACCAACCAGATTCAATCCCAATCCCAGTTAAGGTGATCTCAAGCCCTAGTTCTAGTCAGGGCCTAAAATCTCCCTCCGTCCTTCAAAGTGTTCACAAAAACCCTTTTCAGTTTCCCCTGGAGAAACCAGTGATTGAACACGAACCAATGCCCAACCTATTTGATCAGTTTGGGACGGTTCGGGACCAGGATGAGAATATCATGGCTATGAGACGACGGTTTGAGGAGGCCAAGCAAAGGATGGCTCTGTCTCTTCCAGCTCGAGAAGGTGGATTACGTCCTAACAGTTTAATTGCCCGGAGTATGTTTGACAGTGATAAATTCTCCCCTTGGGGGGATGATGCATCCTCCTTCCTATTGGAGCAGCTTCGTCGGAAAAACAAAAGGAGAATGGAAACTCCAGCTGCTCCTCATCCAGAGCTTACACCGCAGCAGAAGCAACATATTTTTGAACGCAGCTCCACACCCTCCACTTTGCAACCTGGAGCTCCCATGAGACGGATGCTCCCTGGAGGATCCGTGGCTGAGCGTGTTCTAATGTTTGAGAAGAGTCCGTCCTTGTTTGGTTTGGATCCGGGTCAAGGAACACGTGTTCTACCTATACGCCGGGAACCAATGTTGACCGGCACAGCGCTCACACCCTGGAGAAGTCAGACTCATGAAAATCAGAATAAACAGGTTGGATTTACTTTCGTTTACAAATAATCAATCAGAATATTTCTATTTAAATATATATTTGGAATGTCTGTTTGTTTGTATCCAATAAACGTCGAATAGAGAAAGGTTTTGAAATTTTATAAAGATGCCACCATGGAATTGAGTTCTTGCCACTAACTCAAATTTTCTATTAGCTACACCTTTGCAACCTGATAGTGCAACTTTTAACCTTTAATCTTCAAACTATTGGTATTAAGTAAAATTCATATTTTGAAATATGAATTGTCTAGAATATCGGATTGCAAAAATCAGAGTTTTGGCAACAAAATCAGGATATTTTTCACTTTTAAGATATACAAAGTAAAAATGGCGACAAAGAAAGCAATTTTAAAGAGTTTAGATTCATTACTGAAAAAAGGTGTGAGAAACACATAGCTTGAAAATGAGATTATCTATTTTAAAAATTGCCTTGAAACCGCAAAAAATACTAGGCCGTTTTAAGCCTAGCAAGTCATACCCCCCGTGCTCTTTTTTGACCCTGAGCATTTTAAAAGTATGACAATAACAACATTCTTTATCTCAGTTTTTTTGCCTGCAATTTAATTGATTCTGATATTTATTACAATTTTCAAGCCTGCCCTCTTAAAGTTGTTTTATTCAGAAAACAGGCATGGATAAAGATATATTTTAGTATTTTTACTTGATATATTCAATATAGTCAGCAATGGCAATAAGGATAATTCAATCGTGAATCCATTTTTGGGGCAATTCGCAAAATTGGGGACTTGTTTTCTGTCCTCCTCAGTTGGTTTCACAAAAATAATTTTAAAAATGAAAAAAAAAATTTTAACAAGAACCTAAGTTGAATTTACAAACTATGAAGTTTTATTTGACCTTTAATCGAAATTTTCAAATTAAAACTTTATGCAATTAATTAAATCAAATCAATATTTCAAGCAAATATTGTTTATTACCAATAATAGAATTTAAATATATTTGGAATGGATTTTATGTTTTGCATTTTTGCATTTGAAAAAAAAGATGGAGGGGATTTTAAGATTGTTTTAAAGCTTCTAACGTAAAAAAAGTGGAGATACAAACAAACTATAGGTTTAAAGATTTAGTATTGAATCTATATATAGACTGATCTCTCTTTTATTGAATACAGTGTGTTTCAAGGTAAAATATATATAAAACATAGTCGGCCGGCCGCTCCACCTCCCACCCCCACCTATACATGACTAAAAGCAAAACTCGCTTAAGGATATGTTACCTCTGCATTAAGAAAACTTTAAAAGGAAGTTGTTATTTCCAATTTGTTGAGAGACCCTGTCCCCATTTGGTTCACTTTATTTTAACACCCTATACACACGTGGTCTGAGGTACACCTGGAGTAAGAATAATTGTTTGAGTCTCGATATTTGAAGAGTAATGGCAGGACCCAACCCAACCCAGCCCAACATGACCAGACTCTTTTTTAACAAAATTCTAAATATTTAAGTTTTTTAAGTCATCCGATTTGAAACTTTTAATGAATCTTGTTATTTTGAAAACTTTGTCTATTTTTACTTTTTTTTTACTATTTTTTTTGCTTTTTACTATTTTACAATGTTTTACTTCAAAGACATTTAAAGTTGCTTGGATTATATTTGCAGAAAAAGTAAAAGGGGGAAAAAGTTATATTTGGTGTTAAAACGGTTCCTGAAATTATATTTATAATTTTGATTTAGAGACTTGTTTAAATTTTAATTGTTGAAGCAGAAACAATAGTTTGTATTGTATTTTTTTAGATAATGAATTTTTTTTACTTTTTATGAAGTTTTTAATTAAAATGTGAAAACCCTCAGAAGATTTGAAGTTATTATTTCTTTTAAAAAAACCTAGTTTTTTTTATTATTCTTTAATTCTTTAATCACTTTGTTTCAATTTAAAGTTTAATCTCTGAGGGAACACCTTGAAGGCATTGATTTAAAAAAATGCAGTGACACCCATCCCTCCCAAGGCTGCACAGAACACACCCTATAATCATCATAATCATAGATAAAACAGTATATTATATAGTATATATTATTAATGTAGAAGTAGAAATATCTGAATTTCCAAAATTATTATTTATCCATCTATCTATCCGAGTATCAATAAGTTAATCTATCGTTCAATTTTATATATATTTTTGAAATGTTTTAAGTTTTAAATCATTTTAAGTAAATTTTTTTTTCATTTCCCAAAAAAATCCTCAAAAATGTAATTAAAATCCTTGTGTGCGTCCAATATGGCGATTGGCAGCTAAAGCCATTTTTTTTAAACATGACACCAATATGTTCTAGAAATATATACTTCTAAATTTGAAGGCCTAGACTCCAATTCATTGTAACTTTGTCGGGTAAAGGTCAAGTATTAAACCCTAATAAGGCCCAGGCAGTATAGGGGGGGGATAATATACCGGGAAAGGGGGGGGTTAGACCGTTTAATTATTACTAGGTCTGACATTTAGAGCATATTATAAGGTCCAGTCTTTCAAATAAAAATGTGTTTAACTATTTTTATTATTTCCAACGATTTGTTGATTATTTTTGACAATTTGTTTATGATAACTAACGACCTATTTTTATTTCTAATGATTTTGTTGATTATTTCTTACAATTTGTGTATTATAATTAACGATCTATTTATTGTTTTTAACGATATTATTTTTATATTATTTCTTACGATTTATTATTTTTAAGGATTTACGAAAATTAACAAAAAAGGACACACATATATGTTGACGGCCAAATTATGTGTCATTGAAAAATTTCAAGAATCTTCCGAACTCCGATTTGCCCCAAATTTGTAAATTAAATTATGGAGATAAGTTCTTTCCATAAGTCAGTAAGCTTTTATTTTAGACCCAATTGTAAACTGTTTATTTTTCGCATACAATATTCCAATTTCATGAAATCTTTGAAACTTTTAAAGTGTAATCTGGTTGTGCCTCTTTGAACTGCACAATTGGATTATAATGTTTATTGGACTATTAGAAGTCATACCTTGAGTCATCAAGGAGTATAAAATAGAAGGGAAGATACATCTGACGCGGCCCGCCCTACCATATAATTATACATGCTTTGCAGACAGTACTTTATTTGAATAAGAAATATTTGTCTAATGTACAATTACCGCGTATACAATAACCTATTCTGAATATTTCATATAACAGTGGAGTACCCGTCTGCAAAGCACGTATAATCATATGGTAGGGCGGGCCGCGTCAGTTGTATCTCCCTTTTATTTCATACTTCTTGCCTTGAGTCCATGAGTCGTCTTTCAATTTCACAGTTAAATGGACCTCACTGTAGATCAAAACTTTTCACCTTTTTTTTAAAACGATTTTGACTGTCTTTATTCCAATACAGCCATTATCTGCTTCATTTCGTTAGGGTTTCTGAACATTATTTATTGGTTATAATTACAGATAGGTTCATCATCAAGGTTATAACTATAGATAGGTTCATCATCAAGGTTATAACTATAGATAGGTTCATCATCAAGGTTATAACTACAGATAGGTTCATCATCAAGGTTATAACTACAGATAGGTTCATCATCAAGGTTATAACTATAGATAGGTTCATCATCAAGGTTATAACTATAGATAGGTTCATCATCAAGGTTTTTAAAATTGTAAAAGAATCCAAATAAATCTGAGATGTTTATCTTTATTACAAAATTATATATATTTTAGCAGTTTATATTTATTTCTTTGTGAAAAATACCATATCATAATAAAATAAAATAAAAAATAAAACTATTAATTAAACAGTAAAAGTGTTGCACAATGTGTAAAGCAAACTAAAAGATAAAAATTACGCATTTATATTGAGCCTCTTAAAAGAACATTGAAAATTAAAAATTAAAAAACATCCCCAAAACAATTTCCATTCCTAGCACAGGGGTGTACTCAGGAATTTGTGCAGGGGGGGGGGCTTAACTTTTATTCTTTCCAGGGGGGGGGGGCTTAAATCATTTTCTTTCAAGGGGAGGGCTGAAACCCCCATGGAAACCACAGATTTTACTGATCCGGGGAAACTGAGCCCCATACCCCTCCCCTTTGTACGCCTCTGTTGAAAGGGGTATCTCTGAACTAATCTGATTTTATCAAATCTAGTTATTCAAATACTTAGCACCAGGCTCATATATGGGTGGGCGCCATTCTTCAATCTCTCTAGGTATCACTTTCACCACACAACCAATACCAGCTGTTTTAAAGGGTACCTGGAGACACAAGATCATTGTTAACGATGAATCTAAAACATGACTTAAAATGCGCAACTAAATCTATATTTAGAACTAACCCTGCATTGTTCGCAGGATAAAATCATAAAAAGAATAAACAATTGTTCTACTCAGCTCTCCTTAAACAATCTGCATTTTGTTATTGCATAACTTATTCAACAACTAGAATTGGTAAAGCTAGGTTTAAACATATTTTAAAGGGACTATTGATGATATTTCAAGTAACCTTCAGTTTAAAGAGGGGCTTATCCGAAACTTTTAACCCCTTTTCATAGCACAAATGAGGAAGATATCCTCATATTTCCATCTTAAAATTGGTAATTGGTATACTCTGAAAAAAGGAAATGCAGCAGAGTAATTGATTGCTGGAAACTAACAGAATTCGTGTCGACGATATCTTCTTCATTGTTGCTCAGTTAAAGGGTCACCTCGGTTGTAAATTGGCATTTAGTTTTTTGCAAAGGAGGCTCACTTGATATTTTGTGTACAGTCCCTTTAATACATTTCTTAATGATGGTTTGAAGAAATACTGAAACGTTTGAACAGGTTAATGAGTCAATTAGTTAATTATCGTGTAGTTTAAGTAGTAATTAATATCTGTTAAGTACCCTTCAATCCCTCGTCAGTCTCCTTTTAATGGCTGGGAGAGTGAACACCAAACAGTTAGGGCTGGGAGAGTGAAAACCAAACAGTTAGGGATTGAAGAACTCAGTTTCTTGCAAATATTTTTTGAATTATAAACAGTG